AGAAAATATAAAAAGATAAATGATAATTAAATCTCATTGTTAGATACTTATCACACTTGCAATGATGTGCAGAAGGAGGAGAAAATGGACAATGGATAAACCAGATTTAATGTTGATAATAGTGTAAACACAGTTTAATATTTCAAACAGCACCGCGTATATTTTATAGGTCTGGGTCACGATTGACCCGTCTGTGAGTTACACCCATCAACGGGTTAAGCGCAGCGAAGCCTGCGTTCCAAGTGCAACGACCTTGAGAATTCGGCCTCGGGTTTGAACCTTTCGAAGGCAACAGCTTCCTGCCGTGTGTGCATGCTCGTTTTGCGTGGCACACGCGCGATTTTATGAAAACGATCGTTAGCGAACCAACGGCGCGTAACGATGACGTCAAGTCCCGTGTATACACACGGTGTGTAGTCGACGAGCCCCAAAGGTATTATCTTTCACGGTGCTTCCCACAGAACGATAAGCGCATTGGCGTAAGTATTGTAACTACTGTCCTTAGCTCGTAAGAAGTCTCACAAGACGATACAGGGGTAAGAGGAGGAACTACCCACACATCAAACGGCCCTGTAGTTGTGTATGAGCCTATTAGTCGTGTCACCGCTACCAGAAAATTTGTCAAGCCTCCATTTGAAAGGGGGCGAGGAGTGATAGAAATGTATTATTTTCATAGACTATGATAGTGAAAGGGTAGCATTAGTAGGTATGCATCCAGATCCATATCAAAGATGAAGAATAATATTTTACATATGTAGCTGTATAGTTTTTACGATGTCTAGCGTAGTAGAAACCTCCATCAAGAAAATATTCACACACAACTTTTCCTGGCATCTCCAATGATGCAACAAAACCACAATTACCATCCATACCTTCCAGGTAACAAGGTAACAAAGAATGGTATACCTTCTCTTAGGATCATGATCGCTGCCATAAATTCGATTCCTCCTATCGCTTTTCTCAGCATTATGTTGATCCGCCATTATAGGAACTAGTTAATTGCAATAAGTGTGCAAAGTTCTCTAAAGTTCTCATCGAACCGTTAAAAACAACAGAAAGAATCATATCGCGTGCGTTGCTCCGTGACAAAGAGACTCGCGTAACCAGGCAGGCATGCTCTAAAATTAGCACCTGCTCCTGACCTGGGTTTTAATCGTGTAACTCTCGGTGTCAAAATGCGAGTCGAATCTTGAACGCTTTCCATGGCGCCACTCTAACGCGTTCCTTTCGCGGACAAAATTGTACAGCCGTGCGAAACGACATGGGTACCGGGTGTTTCATTTAAAACTTGGTATGGAAGAAGAACACAGAGATTTAACAAAACGTACATATACCGTTTGTGAGGCTAATGTAACGCCTACCATGGGTGGGCGCCGGTCTTAGAAAGTGGAATGCAAACTTCTGACGAGAGTGGAAGTCTAGCGCCAGCTTTAGCAACCGTTTATTGACGAGCACGTTGCTCGGCTGCGTGTACTGCACTTTGAACTGAATTAACCCTTTCGTTGCGAACAACTTATACATATATAGGGTGTCCATACTAATTTATAACTTTAAATTTCTGCCATATGGTTTCATATATCTAACCATCTACTACTACTATTACTACTACTACTACTAATAATAATAATAAGATATATATTTTTCTATTATAATTATCGCTCACTTTTTAATTTTTATTCTATTTTAAAAAAATATCGTAAAAGTTCAAAGAGAGATTCAATTCCTCGAATGGAATTTATTAGCGCACGAAATGCCCGCATCTAAATTTAAAATCGTATGATATTTATACGATTCAAGTAAGAAGCAGGCCCTCGATTTTTGTTTGCTAATATAGCAAAGGAAAACAAACGTTATTTTTACTTCTGTAGCTTCACTCCCACGCCATTTTATTCGATCGTTCTCCGTCTCCACTTTTTGGTCGTTTAAAAACCACCTTCGAAAATAAATATATGGGAATTGATTCCCATTAAACGTTCAGGATCAGATTATCGGATACGCAGTTTATAATTCAGACTCCGTATCGAAACAGATGGTGATTTATTACTGTTTACCTCCACTTTGATTTTATGTTACCTTTGATAGGATGCTGTTGCAAAATTAATACTTAGAAATCGCATAATCTCTTCATATGCTATTTCATATTAAAAAAAGTAGAGAAGAATCATTAAAATTGGAAAGCTACGTAATGTTATATGCAAACATTGCAAATATATTGATGTTCTTCTGTTTCTGAAGAAAAAACGTTTTTAATATTCTAAAGCATCAGAGTGTTGAAAAGAATACACAAATAGATGGAAGAAGAAATAAATCACATACCTTAGTAAGTATTACAGATGAAAAAAGGGAAAACAGAAATTTTGGAAGTGGCATATAGTATGGAATTAATGATATCAGTGGATTGTATTTCGAAAAGCTAGTGGTACGCCTACTATGGCTGGCCGCCTTAGAGGCAGGAATGTAAATCTGCTAGACTCGCGAGACAAACCTAAGCGCCGGCTCCGATACACGCGCCGCGTGTCGATAGCTGCTCGCCCACGCGTGTCCATAGTCAAGGCACGTCCTGCTTATGCCATAAAAATTGCCGGACAAAACGTCGTATTAAGATTCGCGGCCTGAGACATCGAACAAACGTGTATTTTTATCTCGACTCAGAGTATAAAGACTTAACGTTATTGCAAGTAATCACTAGACTTTTGTTTTCATTCTTGTAGGAGAGAGTTTGTTCTTTGCTTCTTTTGCTTTCGTATAAACAAATGATTTTCTATGGTATCATAAAAATAAAATCAAATGGTGTTAAACTGTTCTTTGGATCTTTGGACGTTTATAACTCTTTAATGAAGCACTTTCAAATATGTATACATAGATCTAAATTTCCAAAAAAAAGTTATTGAGATTCAAGCATATAATATTGAATATTGCACAGGTGTAATGACAAATAGCGGATATTAAAGCAAACACGTACGAGTATCAAGCAACAAATAAAAGATATCAGTGCCAGTTAATACTTCGGTACATCTTAGTGAGTACATACACAATAAATTATACAACAAATGTAGGTATAATTAACATGTAAGTAATCCTCAAATATATTGACATTAGCAAATATCTGATTATGCAACGAACGTGTAACATTCAAGTAAAAATTACGATCCGATATAAGTGATAAAGAAAAAAAAAAAATAATAATAACGTTAACCAACATTCAATTATGCAACAACCGAGTACAAATCACCGATCGATCAGCATTGCATAAACGCATTTTCTTCGTTAGTAGAATTTTACTTACCCTTCGTTACTTTCTATTCTTACTCAATATTTCAAATTGACATTCAATGTTATCAAACTTAATAATAAATATTAAGTAAAAATGAAAAACAAAATTCAGTCAGGTAATGCAAATGATGGTGTGGTATGTATGTTGAACTTTATAGGAGCATTTAAGGCTACGATCAGGTGGTTGCCTCATTTTATAAGAATCGATGGGAATTGAACGTGGTGAAAGTGCGTTTTCAGAAAAATTTCAAGCGAAATCCCTGCTTTTTGTTGCAACGATTTGCAGTATCAATTACGATGTACACTCGCAATGAAATCAGACTTCCCAAGGGGAAATGGCGATACATTTGCCCCAGGGACGCCTATGGGGAAGGTCGAGAACCGAAAAGAAATGAAAAATAAAAAAAAAAAAAAGTGGAAAGAGACATTCAGCCATCATAAGTATTATGCAGCAAAATGGAAGCTTGAAAAATCACGGAACGAAACTGCGTTCAGGAATTCGCTCGGCGCCAAAAGAGGAATATCTATTTTTATCGCTGCATTCATATTTGCGAACGCGTTTTTTTTCCCTTTCTCTCTCGATCGAACTCGGCAGAACGAACGTGTAATAATACATTAACACGTTGCTTTGTTATTCAGATTGAGCGACGATCAGCATAGCAATCGCGGTATAAACTGCTTCCAATTTAAGTTAGAAAAGAAATTTACGGCTGTTAATATTCGTTCAAGGGACCTCTACTCTTCTGTTGCGTTTCCATTTGAAAGCATTTGTGCAAACGATCAACAACAATGTCGTGATATTTTGTCTCCACTGATTGAGACTGATAGTAAAGTTCAATTTTGAGGTTAGAAATTTGATTAGAGGATCCCATTTAAAATTCACTTTTAATTGTTAAGTATTATGTGTAATTCGATATACTAAATTAAACGTTCAATACCGTTATAGCATGTCATATAATTGTTTCGTGAAACAATTTGACTGAAATTGGTTAAAAAGCTGTGAAACATCGCAAGTGGCCGGACAACAATGTGATGGAAAAGCACTGGTCCGTAGTCACGTGGTAGCCGGCCATGTGTATGCGTGTGTCCATAATAATAAATATGTCGGCGACGGGACCACGGTAGCTAAGTAACGTTAACACGTTGAATGCCGCAGGGGTCACCGGTGACCGACACTACTAATTGAAAGAAAATTCTAAGTAACATTAATACTATATATCCTTAGATAGCAAGTGTAATATTTAAATTAAGAAACGAAACGATGGCACTCTGAGCAATAAATTGCAGTAGAATTCAATAATCGCAATCTCAATAATACTTGGAAACGAACAAATTTGTAACATTGACTATTATGTACGAAATCAGTGATAAATTAATGAAACGTAGCGAAAACTAGTGCTCGCACACGTTAAGGTTTGTCACATGTCGGTGTCCGTCACGTGTGCATTATTTCCACGTTCGTTCGAAAACGTCTATTAAATCACGACGTCGAATCGGTGGCGAGCACGGGGCGCGATCGAGTAAACACGCGCACACGCGGACACGCATGCGCCGTGTTAAGTGGTTAACCTGCGGTAGCTTAGCGTTCCGTAGAGATAGTCGAAACGAATGATATTCCCGTGACGGCGACGTAATACCGGCCACTTGAATCGATTCGAAAGCGAACGGAGCCGGTTAACGAGTTTAACGAGAACATCGAGAAGAAGAAACGATCGCGTGACACTAACCTGTCGCTCTTGTCGACGACCGTCAGCGCCGCAAACTCCTGCAGCGGTGGTTCCGCGGAGATGCCCTGGGCCCTCTGCTTCCTGGGCCTGGGTTTCGTCGGTGTCAGCGGCGATTTAAACGGCAGAACACTTAGAAATTTGTCCAGGTGACTTCGGAGCTCTTGGATTTCGGCGTCGCGACGACAGAGGAGCGCCTCTAGCTCGGCAATCCTCTCGTCCTTCACACGGAGCAACTCCTGCAACTCCCTGAGGGTGCCCATTGCTGTAATCGCGGTCGCACCGGTGACGTTCGAGATGGCCCTCTGGCCAGCCGCGACCACGGCCACGGCGCCGTGCGTCGGCAGCTGCGGAGCGTCCTCCTCGTCGGCGAGCCGCTGCTGCGTCGACGAGAAGCACAAGGAGTCGAAGCACACGCGCATAGACACGCAGGCGTCGCCGATCGGCACTCTGCACTTGGTACCCTCGTCCATTCAACCCGAACAAAACAGCCGCGAGATGAGAACAGGAGCCGCGACGAGGAGCACGACCCGGACGGTGCGTCGTCGGCTCGCTCTACTCCACGATTCCACGATTCCGCGCTCTCCAACAGCGGAGGACCAACGTCCTCCACCGTCCTCCACCGTCTCCCGTGACGAGCTTCAACGATCACCGCTATCTCTCTTCTTCACCAAGTATTTTACATTATCTCTCTTTGTCAGTGCCTCCTCCCCACTCTCTTACCGTGACCGATAGATCTCCTCGTCACTCCATAACCCTTTCTCGTTCCCTCTTTCTCTATCAGCTGCATACACACGTTTTCTCTCTATCTCTTTTACAGTCTAGCCTCTCTCTGGAGTTACTTCTCACCGTTTTTCTCTCTCCGATCTTTAGCAGGTCTCTCCGTCTCTTTTCGTAGAAACATGTCTGCTTTTCCTTTTCACTGACGCTACTGTTCCTCGTTCCTCCTCGTTCGTTATCTTCGTTGTGTCTCTTGACACTTTCTCCCTCCTCCACTCTTTCACTTTTCAACGCACTGCATTTCTCACTCCATCACCGCTAATGTTTGTCTGGTTTGTGGTTTACAGTACGCTGTTTCTCTCGGATATTAATGAGTCGAGGTTCGGACTGGGACTCCACCGACCTCGCTGCCATCGCTATTGTTATCTTTTTCCTGATTCTATAGCGCTCGTTTTCTGTCCCCTTCTAGTGCGACACTGCAGCTCCTCGTGGCAGTTTAAATTTACTAGTGGATTGCGCCACCGACTGGTGCGCCATCTATGGCAGCCATTTTGTCGTAAAAGTTGCAGATGGCTCTTGTACCGGCCATTTGGATACATTTAAAGGGTTAGACACGGGTAATGCAGCGACGTGACATTGCCGGCAAAAATGGGCCTATCTAAGAATAATTTACGAACTTTTATGATTGATTCTTAATCTACATACTTGTAGCAACTTTCTAATATAGGTTTTGTAAGAATTCAGTCACTAATTAATTAATTATGAACCCTATTATAAGGGCAGCGGCTCGAACCTACAATAATGATCACTCTAAAAATTGCTATTAATTAATTAATTACTTTCAGGAGGCAGATAAAACCTATACTATAAGAAAGCTACGGTGCTATTCTTTATTCTTTAATAATAATGATGAACTTTGACGCGTGAATTTCTTTTTCAGGCAACGTTCTATCGACTACGATAGCGATTTTCAACCCGATTTTTGGACCGGTAGGATTTTTATAACGTATTTCTCGCTCATCACGCCACGTTGTGGCTGCGTGGAATAAATATCATAAACCGTAAGTTTATCTATGTCGGTAATTCAGTACAGCCATTTCCAAGGCTAATGTTCCAAGACTGATAACAGAATCCATTAAAATTCAAACAGAGGTATCGAGATCATTAACAGGATTATTTGAGTAGCGCTAACTAGCATAATTTACAGCTCAGAAATAATTATTTAATTCAATTATACAATATACATATCACGAAATGTGACATACATAAATGAATTTAAAAAAAAAAAATTAAATTATTTTATAATTAAAATTCTTTTTTATTATTGCAATTATATTGCAAAATAAAGATGTTCTTTAGAAAATATAAATTATATTTCTCGATAGAAATTTGGCATAAATAATAATATTAAATAACGAGATTACAGCGGTACTTTTAGCATACTGTTCGGTATACATAATAATTTGACGAAACAAATTTTATGTGCGTCACATTTCTAGAGATGACGCCACGTGGTCTGTTGATCACAAATCTTATCGCCTCACATTGAAAGCAGTTATGTATTTCGATTGAAATAATTTTAAATGATGGCAATTCTACAGCAGCGTTTAAATAGCAAGAATGTATAGTTCGTAAATCAGTTAATGAAGGAATGTGTGGCGAGTGTCATTTTATTGCCACAAGTAGTCTGTCGATTAGATCCAATGCGAAATCATATTAAGACATTTTAGGGGTCTGAATTTATTTCTGACTACCACAGAAATAAATATGATAACTCTAAATTATAACTGATAAGATGAAGTCTATGGAATATATGTATTTATAGTCACAACTTGTTCTCAAAGATTGAATAAATAGAATATTAAATCAGACATACTTTCAAATGATTGAAATGAGCCAACCCCTTCTAAATTGACAAAAATAAATTAGAATAGCCTGGAGCGACCTGATCGGTATTGTCTCTGGCGTCTTGATGAATAGTTACGGAGTTATCCCGAATCGAACGCCTGGAGGGAGTCCAGGCTGGTAATAGTCCCGGCTGCTGGTCGGGGAACCGTAATGTCATAATAGAATAGCGATGTTAGTAATACCATCGCGTTGCAGCAGTGTAGGCAACCAGCCGATTGACTGGTCCGTGCTGTCGGGAGAGGCCCAATTTGCATCGCATTGTGTACTCGTTACGCCTTCATCCATGCTGCTACCCGTCTACGCGCGATTCCAGCGTCGGCGTCGATGTCGGCGTCGGCGCGGATCGCCATACCGACGGCTAAACCACCGCCGTTCCAGCAATCAGCGCCCTGGGAGAACCGTGGAAACCGCGGAAACCCCTAACTTAATTATTGTTTCTGGCGTCGTTATCGTTATTAGTCGCTCCATCGGCCGGTTAACGCCAGAGAGAAACTCTCAGTTCTCGTTGTTATTTCCTTTCTGATAGTTGTTATACCTTTTTCGTTTCTTGCTACTATATCTATCTACCTTTTTATCATTTTTTTTTCTAATTTAAACCTTTTAGGAATGATAAATAACAAAATTATATATGTGACTCCAGCAGATCATCTGGTATTTTCAGTGTTAATAAAAGTTACTTTTTTAGAATTTCCATTAAAACTCGGATATTTGATATATAACGACCTAATAGGATCCCCAATGAAGAAGCATAAAAATGTAAGGAAACATCCTTACCTCTAGAAGGAACAACGCTTTCATCTCCTTCTCCCGTTACCATTTCACCCTCTTTCCCTGGACACCCTTCACGATCCCACGATCTGGCCTCCATCCGTCCGCGCCCCTCAAAATATCAACTAAACGATAACCACATTTATTATTCATCCGGCTGCCTCGTTCACTGCTCTACGCGGCTCCAATTTTGCAGAGTAGTTTTTCAAAGAATTCTGTAAGCGTGCCGGCGCATCGCGAGCGGGATGGAAATATGGAATCGAGAGAGGATGAGATATTTCGCGTGCTGGGCACGCGATACAGCGTGAGCAGACCGACTGAACGGGTTGGTCCATTTTACGCGTAAGTCGATGGTTTACAAGAAAAAATACTATTTTATTTAACATGAGAAAAGGTTAAAAAAATACTAGAAAATATTGGAAAGCATTAGAAATTCTTATGAAAAATTCTATTAGAAATTATTTAGTTTTATGGCGGAAAAGCTCTTAAGGCCTATCACCGTCATCTTGGAAATAATTCAATCGTCGCTGGAGGATGGCGCAGTTTCATTTTCGGAATGAAGCCACCGAGCGGTATATTATGTTTAATCTTGGCTCGGTTCGAAACCACCGAAACGTCTTGGAAAGCTCAACTGGGATAACTAAGATTAGTGTCGAGCGCATTGTGTGACAATTCATTTCGTGAAAATATTCACAAGTTATTTCTTATCCTCGTCGTCTTAATATTCATTACTACTTTTATCTACTTCGTTCATAGCGACACGAATACTCTCTTTATCTGTAAGAATGATTTTATTTTCCACTGACAGAAGTAGCTGAAGATATTTTCTTTTCAGCTTCGGTTTACACGGAACTCTTTCGGTTTTATTCCAGAAATAACGCATTTTCTTGCCACGAGTTTATTTTATGATCTTTACACGTCAATCTGTGTCAAGAAACGTCAGTTTATGTTCTTCGTGCTTCTTCTTTAATTTCTCTATTCTTCTTGCCAAGAATTTCATGCGAGTTGCCATTGCTTACGTTTGATGCGTACACTTTTCGTTTTATATTTCTTGGCAACTCACTTCGGTTGGAATAACTAGGTAAATTTAGCAAAAATATTGTAGAATAATTCAATTAAAAATTATTGTGCTCTTGTAAGATTCTTCTTTAACCCTCATTAATAAATTGTAGATTTATTTATGATACACTTCAAAATTAACGAACATCATCCATGCAAATATCTTTTGGCACATTTCGCATTCCTTCAGACGTCAATCCGCGTCAAGATCACGAATGCCAGGTTTTTTTTCTAGCTTCTTCTTTAATTCCACCCCTCATCTCTAGCACCCTTCGAACGCGAAGACGCCGTCGTTGATCCTCTTCCCGTCTCTCGTTCCCTCTATGTCCAACTCCCCGAGGATGAAGGGATCAGAGGAGAAAGAGATATGGATTGACACTCGAATTCCACCGGTAAAGGATCCACCCTTCGCTCGGTCATTTTTCTTATCCACCGCGCATCCCAGCCAACCTCTAATAAACTAAATTCATCAAATTCGACACCGATCGTCCATTCACGATCGTTTGATTTCTCTTCTTGAATCCTGGCTGATGTGAAAGGAGATTTAAAAAGATCCTTTCATCGTCAAAAACCTTTCATCCTCTTTAAAATTTATATAAAAGTATCCTTTTTCGGTTTTGTAAAATACTATAATTAATGTATGATCGGGAAGACTTCGATGATGTCTTCTTAATAAATGCGATTAGCCGTAAACATGTTGTTTTAAGGGTGAAAAGTCAAGTTAGGGTTTGCTCGGAACAAGGTGGAATCGTTTCTGAGTGACGGCGGACAGACATCCTGAGAGTTAAGGTTCCCGTCGGTGCTATAGGGGTGAATTTTGGGGGCGACAGATGATTTAGCGCGGTGTTTCCTGTGTCACTGTATCAAACATCCGTGAAAGTTGACAGCTCGAAAGAGACCTCGATATTCCTTATTTTTTCTCTTTTTCTTCTTATAAAAGGAACGAGTATATTTTGTCATAACAATGCAATACAATTATTTATTTGAGAGACACTTTTGTAATAAATGGATAATTCTCTATCTTCACATTTCCAATTAATTAAATTATGTTATGTTATGTTATAGAGAGAACATTTTACCTATACCAACATCGCAACAAATAAAAAAATAAAAATAAATTCTAGTGATCTAGATGCCGCAAATAAACCGTGGGACAAAGTAGAATCAGCTTCGAAGTGGATGGTAAAAAGGTTGACCCAATAGAAGGGATTATTGCGCCTGAGCCGAAGTCGAAGGTGAAGGGGGTGGGGGATGAAAATAAAAGGACGAGCCAACAAAGCATTCGAAGCTGGAAGTCGATCCGACGCGTTGCAGCAAAGAAATTCCACCCCCTTCGCCCTTCGACGTCGAAACTTCCAGCATCACCCACCACCCTGTTCGAGGAAGGCTGGATGGTGTTCCCGCAGGAGGAACATGGCTCCCAGGCAGGATCCATCCTTCCAGCCACCCCGTTTTCTCCGACACCCCCACCTCTGGCCGCCTGGTTGGCCCCTCGTTGCATTTTAAATCAAAGCCCCGGAGGTAACGCAATCACCAGGCATCACGACGCTTCCACAATTTTCTACTTTAAGCTACTTTATGTATTAGTACCCCACCCGTGGCTGTCTCACCATCTCTCTTCCTCTCCCAAGGATCCGCAATAAAACCTCCCTCCCTCGACCGCCCTCCCGCTGGTCGGCGAGGCTGCTGCTACCAAGGCGAGCAGCCAGCCACCGCTGCTACATTAGTTACCCCGCCGCCCCGGTTCGAAACTCAGTCTTTTACACTCCGACAGATCCTCCAGCACCCCCTCGCGACCCTCCTTACTGCCCAGATGCGGCATAACGAGGTTATTTTATTAAACAACCTCCGCCGCCCGCTTCACGACGCTACTGGAATTCTTACAGGATTCAATGAGGAGTTTTACGGTGGGGGTGCATCTTGAGCTTACAAGTATCCTGAAGGGAGGGATTGATGAGGTGAAGGGTGATCGAAGTATTAGTTTATGGGAAGTGTTTGGAGAAGAGGTGGAGGATTTTTGGGAAGTTCACAGCAATTAGTTGAGTAAGATAAGTTTGTTTAGATGGATGATGAAAAAATTTTTTGGAAATATTATACACTAACTATACACCAATATTAAAATGTACAATGTGAACATTTTTTCATATTGCTACAATTTATAATTTTTGTTTTTAAATTTCATAAATTAAACTATGTATGATAAATGTTTTCACCCTCGATTCAAACCCCAAATAAGAAAAATAATTTTTAATTTCCTTTCCAAAAAATGATCCTTGTAAATGGTATAGAAAAATTGAGAACATATAATTGGATATTTTCTGTGGAAGCCAACACTATACGAGGTGTATAGGGGGATGAAATTCTCGACTAGTTACACGGAGTATGGGTGTTCTCTATGTGGTGTGTAGTTCGCAAGCGTGGAGTGGTGTAATCTAGTCACCACGAAACAGGATTATTCTCCTAACTCGGTCTCTTGCTCTTTCTATCCCTCCTCCTTCCAGAATTTCGCCCTTCTGTGTTCTTTGATTGCTTCTCCCTCTTATTTTCCGATTTCTGTTAACTATTTTCTTCTGTTCTCTTTAATATCCTTTCACTTTTTCTTTTTTTTTTTTCAATTTATTATAAATAATTATCGTGCTAGTATTCCTCAAGAGATTCAAATATTTTCTTTACCTCCACACTGTTTCCTTTTCCTCTTTCTCTTCATCTACTATTTATCTTCAAAACGTGTCCCACTTCTTTTCATCATTCATTTTGCTGCTTTTTATTCAAGAGTACCTTATTCCCTTTTCTTCTATAGTGTCTTTCATTCACATTCACCTGGTATCATAGTATCTTCCTATTGCGACGACTTATGTGCACTGTTCATCGAAAATCGTGCTATCCCCGAAGGGTTGGAAAAATCAAATGGAAAGAGAATATATTGACACGGATAAACGTGTGTTCGAAATCGTCATCGTACAAGTTTTCACGTTTTCTTGGTGACTATATAGGAGAATCTTGAATTTTCAGCAAAGTGCAATTCGATAGGGGAAGAAATTCGAGCCGATCAGAACCAAGAAAATTGCGGATGAATAGGAGGGTCTGATTTCTTGTATCAGAGTTTTATTAACTTTACTTTGGTTTAACCCTTCGAAACTGATACGACAGAAAAAATAAGAGCTGAATTGTGGATGAAATCTATAGAAACCTAACAATGAAACTTTTTACCAATTACTTCAAATATTCTCGAAATATCATTAAACCGAATAAACTCAAAATTCAATTAATTACTCCATTTGAAATAATCACAACTAACTTATAATCGTTTAATCTATAATCTGCAAATCATCTTCCTGAAAGCAACAGAAATGCTATAAAAACCATAAAACATCCCCAATCCCATCTCAACTTTCTCCAAACATCCTTCAAATATCCTTCAGGAAGCAGCTAACCCATCAAGCGGAACGAATCGAAAATTCAATCTTCGAAACCAGCAAGTTAAGCTCCTCCACCTAATCGCGATCGTCTGTAGAAAGAGGGACGAAGCAACCCCCTCCCATAAAATGACGTCTCTATTTGTATCAAGATTCCTCTCGCGCGAGGACAAGCGTGTGTCGCGTCAGCCAGAGGCGAGAAGAGAAAAGGCAGTAAAGGGAGAGGGAGCGAAACGTAGCGACGGCGAGAGGAGAAAGGAGAAATGTAGCTGATACACGCGAGAGAGAATCACTATGGACGAGGGGTAAACACGATTTACACCATGACGACTATTGCCTCTCCTCTCGTCCAAAGTGCTACGCGCGTAGCTGGCGAGGGTGAGTTACAACACACGGGGAGACACTCGGTAGCCGTAGTAGGGATGTTTGTCGTACGCGTTATTTGGCCAATAAAACCACGTGGCGGCTCCACCACCCCCGCGTACACGCCGCTGGTGACGAGATCAACCCGGATAGTCGGACAGAGACGAGATACACGAAACCACGCCTTGGTACTCGCTCGACGCCTGCGTGGTTACGCCTATCGAGCACGCTTTCGCAGCCTGCCTCAACGTACTCGCGATACACAATTCAGCTGGGACCCTCTTGGACGGTTCAAATGCGATTCCTCCGGTTTTTCGTCCTCCACGATCCCGTACGCGATTTCCGGTCGACTCGACACTCGGATCAGTGCACGCTCGACTCGCAACGGGATACCAACTCACTCCCAGGGGATAGATGGCTGGTCATACTCGGTTTGGGCTAGTGCTCATCAGTTTGGTGCTAATTCGCTTGGACGTTCGTGTCAGTTAGGTCTAATGGATGAACTTTGAAGGACACGAAGTGATTCTTCAGGATTGAGGACAATTTAAGTGGAGGATTTTTTATTTTGGGAAAGAATAAGATGTTTGCGTCTGTGGATGAAAAGGTAACTGCTACATCAACTGAACAAAATTTAGAGTCCCATGATCTATAAGTCTTTAGAAATCATGTGTGATGAAAATCTGAACGATACAGTTCCCATCAGACCCAGAAAGTGATTCAAGGAAGGAGATTTCTGAGTTGGACCAGTGCACAACTTGATCAAACTTGTGCAATAGCAGTTAACGAACAATAAGCTCTGTGTGTTCAGTGGCAAAAAAAAGAAACATTGCTTTTGTTTCAGTGAATATAGACTTTTTAAAATTGACTCTGGGAGATTGTTGAAATAGATTGGGGAGATTGAGATTGAAATAGGGGTTCGGAAAATCGAAGGTGATCCGCAAAAGTGCGGAAGAGATCAGGAAAGTGTTGTTCAGCCACGAGTCCAGGATTCTCACCTCCGGTGGTGGTACCATCTCGCCCGGGGGCGCGGGGCCACCCGCGAGCCCTTCTTCGGGACACTATCATCCACCTACGCACAGTCCACCCCTGGTCAAGGTAAGTTCCTATTATTGTCTTCTATTTCATTTAACATCTTGATTGTTGCGGGGGTTATTTGACGAGGACTTCAGACTTTGCATAATTTAATTATTAGGAAAAGTAAAAAAACATTTCAATATAAGATTTCAAAATACATGATGATAATAATAATCATAATATAAATAGAAATTTAAGTAAATTATGATAAAATTAATATCACTAAAGCATTCATGTTGAAATTAATATTACAGAAAACAATTATCACTTGATTGATTACTAGATTACCTATGTTAAATTATTTCAATATTGCGTGTATGAATATAAATTTTGATATTTTTTTTTTTTAAGTACGAATTTTGAAAAATTGCTAATTGGAGTGAAAATACTTTTGTAATTCGCTATACATACGTATATAGCTTCGCGATGGCTTCTCAAATAAATCAATTCAGGAAGGGCTTCCTTTAAATGTAACTGGTTTGAACCAAGCTAATTTACCAGTTTGAACCTGCTATAATAGCATTTGGCTATATTTTCAATTATCTTTGATGGGGTGCTTGAGAAAATTGGATAATATTCGGAAGAATCAAGTGTTTCAATCGTTTCGGTACGATTGTAACAGCAGGGAATTGTTAATTCTACACGACCGTTGCAGTTTAATATACATGAACGCACTAGAAGCGTTCTAATCTGTAATTTTGTAAAACTGATTTGTATCACAGTTTCCATGATTCATTTCCATCCTTATGTACCAAATCACATAAAACAAATTAAATAAATAAATAAATAAATAAATAAATAAACACTCTTCAATATTCAGTATCGTACAATAATTGAAAAAATTGTTATATAAAGTGGACTTTGACTGAATATTATTTCTTCCATCCGACGGGTAGCAATCTTCACCATTCTAAGCGTTTACGACAAAATTATTAAGAAAGTAAATAAAATTGTAAATAGATTTATGACAGAAAGTGGAATATAAAATTAAAAATACTATAAAAAAATGATATTACCCTGGGCCCGAACGTGTTAAATAAGGATCATCAGATAATCAAGACTTTATATATTCTATCTTGTCATAATTTCATTTATAAAAAACTAAATTTCTAACACCTTATGCAGTAATTAACCAGCATAATCAATCTTTAATTGAAAATATATAAATACTTCAGTGACTCACTAACAAGTTAAATGATTGAATCATACAACCCAGTCACCCCTTTTGAATCATCTTAACTGCAAGATCTCCCGACGAGGACACAAAGAAGAATCATTTGGCAAAAATCATACCGCGTTAAGTTTCTACGAGCTTTTCCAGCGGAAGAGCTTTAGCCGTAGACAGCTGCCGCTCGAGTCCCCGGAGGGATTCACGGTGGTGGCTGACGAAAACGAACTCGGACAGCCGCCCTTATACCCATCATCGTCAACCTCTTTTCCGTAGCTCGTTCAGTTCCTTCTCGCGAAAATCCCCTCAACGGCCAGTTGGTTATTACGTGACCATAAAGAGCAACCGAGCTTTCCCGACAACTATCGTAGGGTATCGCATTGCGTATGTCACAGCGAATGCCAACGCTGTCTTTAGAGTTTAGAGCTATTATAAACGCGAAACAGTAAATTATTCCTTTAAACGACGTGTCCAAATACCGTGTATTATTATATTAATAAATTTTTACCTATTCACAATTCATAATTATATTACATACGTCCTATTTTGCATTTAAATTGATAGTAATCATAAAAGCATTAACATAAAAAAAAAATAAGTTAAGAAATCTTACATTATAGCATATTAAACCCGTTGCCAGCAAAACAGCAGTACGGTATAGACAAGGGTTAAACGGTTCAGTGTAATTGATGGATTTAATTGACATGCAGACTCAAGCTGACAGTCAGTATAAATATACATACATTGAGATCGTTTCAATTGTGATTCTATTCGTCAAACGGAATATTCAAGAAAATTAAATATTGCAGGGTAATCGATTCAATTATCACTAGCGTGACTCGATATTACAAAAGCACAAAAGGATTAAATCTAATTATGTTTAAAGAATCCTTATTCAGGTTATACAATTTTTGATAAATAAAATCATTGTTCTTCATCATTAAAATAAATATTCACTGTTAAATAATAGCTATGAAATTTTTAAGTTCATTATTGGGAGGTGCGGTATCTGGACCCACCTACCTGTAACATGCATTTTGTATAAAATCCTCCCCTATCAAAAGAGATAAAAGAAGAAAATATTTTTGAATGAGAACGAAGGGTCATCTCGGCCCTGCGAGTATCTCGCACACGCGTTCGACACTTTCGCTCTGATTAAGCTTAATTCATCCTCGCGACGAGAAGCAGAAGAGAGTAGGCAAGACAACGTTCCAGTAAAATGCTCCAACGGCGGCTCGCACTGTCTGCCGTCCAATCCTGCCAACTTAACCTCATTAATAAATTAATTAGATATTATTGTGTTGGCAGCCAAGGCGGCAGCTGCGGGCCACCTCTCCTTTCCTCTTCCTCTTCGTCTTGGGCCCGCAGATGATGCTCAGGACGCCACTATATACGTACAAATGTGGAGGTCAAGACCCGTGACGTCAGTCTACGATCACGCGTGCTTCTTCGGTTTCTTCGCTTGCACATTTTTCCATTTTTCGAGCAATACAATGCTATAGAAATCCAAAACGATAATAGTGATTTTTATCACTAGTAATGGTTCTTAAATTCTTTGTGCAGGTATTTAGTTTATACACTGTGGTGTAGGAAGAAAGATGAAAATTCATTTTCATATCTTATAATGATCTCCCATAATAATAATTAGTCTAATATTTCAATTGACTGCCATGTCTAAATGAATAGACTTAATCGCAAAAGCAATTTCATTCTTTTCGAACAACTTCATCCATGCCTTGTTCAGAAAGTTTAATTCAACCCATCTTGAATTAAAGCAGAGTTTACATTGGGCAAATTTTGGTCGACGATCCAGTCGATCAACTTCAAGTTGGTCAATTAAAAGGTTTACACTAGGACCTCGTTGTCTGACGTTTTCATCATCCAAAATGACTAATGTTCTACGTATAACATCAGCTATTGTAATTACTTTGTTTGTTCTTCTATAAAAGAACTGTTAATTCATTGACATTCTTTCTGTGTGTATAGTATATGTACATGAAATAACTTGAAGTAAATTATTCATCAACATCTTCGGGTCCACTTATCCATAGATAAGTTCATATCATTGCATTCTACTTAACCGGAAATCACTGAAGGACTCCGGTGATCGTAGACGGGCTAAGACATTCTGTTTCGAGAATCCTAGCGAAGGAGTTCATTACGGGGTAGCATGGCGACTGGTAATGACAAAAAAGCACACGCAGCATTATCATTGCGGAGTGTATAGCATTAAGCTGTAGGGGGCCAGGATTAGGATGTCGGCCATTACCGCGCGTCACTGACCGTTTATTCTACGCCGTGCACGGTGTGCTGACTTCCTCTAGACGCGTACGTATGCCTACGTAACCGGAGGATGAGGACACTCGCGAGGTCGTCAAATCTTGCTCGGTAATCTACCTTTCTACTTTGTCACTGATTTCATATTTCATTCATAGAGACAGCATTTTTTTGTTATCTATACTAACTGTGTACCTACATAATTTGAATCCGAACGATTGCATCTGACAAGAGTTGAAACGTTTCATAAGAGAGGAAAAATCAATTGAATTGTAATTATTAATCAAGTTGATTGGGTAAGCAGCAGCAGGGTTTTTCTTTGAAGGCGACGTCGATTGAAAGTAACACGGTTAAATAGCAATCTGCTAGCAAATTATGTAAGCAACGCTCGAAACTAACACGATCAGTTGATGAGAACGCAATGAACGATTAACTTTGTATCTCGACGATTAATACGAACTCGAGTTAATTAATAACGTCGATTGGAAGCGTCGCGTCGTGTTGTGACTCTCTTTTCCTCTCGTTCCCCCCCGGAAATTAGCTTGCAGAGAGACTTTATTTTATTCGTCTATCTCCCCTATATCTAACTTTTTACATAATAAAGTAATACAATAAATTTACAATTTTTATAATTTTGCTCTAAAATTACAAAAATAGTTCTTCACTGTATACATTTAAATAAATAACATTTTTGTTAATCTCTTGTCTCCTCACAATTTTGGAATTTTTTGAATGCTAAATTAAAATGTAACGGACCCATAAAAGAGTGAAAACCAAAAGAAGGCTGGCGTTCAATTATTTTTTGAGCAAAGAGCGCGCACCACGTTGGGATTTAAATCGAATTTAAATAAATCAACGACGCCTGTGTTGACAGAAGCTCTCGTCGAGACCAGCCTGTTTGATTTAACTCGAAACTGATCGATTTGTTTGTGCGAGCACTTTCCACGCAGACGAACCGAAAAATTCGTTGAAAAATGGACGTTTTGTAGGAAAAACGAAGAGACGGAGAAAAAAAGAAATGTTAGTCTGAATAAATACACGACAATTGAACGACGCACTTAGAGAGGCTGATGCGTTTAATGCGCTTGAAGCAAAGCGGATAGCTCGCTCTAAATTGCGCTTAAGTAACTTAAATTTAATTTAATTTCGCATTGGTTCATTGGTGTCTCTGTTCGCGATATTTAATTCAATACGGGCGTAACATTGTATTACGACCACTTGCGCAACGTTCGTTTGCGAACGATGAAAAATTCGATGAAAATATTGCCTCGAGGAATTTCGATAAATCGATGTACAATCGATTAGAAAATGTAATTGGAACAATGAGATGTTTCTTAATATTCCATCTGTTTTGTAGGAAATTGATTCTATCGATAAATCTATAAAATCGTATAAAATAAAATATCTGTATACACTATTGTTTAATATTATTGTAGAATAATTAAATCGGTCAAAATTTGTTACCTAAAAGAAAAATTTAATGGATTTAAAATTTCTTATCTTAATATTTGTTTAAATTGATAAAAATGTAGTAGTTTTGTTATGTCAGGGCAAGTGTCACCTTAGCCTGGTACTA